CACATCAATGAACGTGATTTTACTTTCTTTTCTCACAGACATGACTCTTTTTCAAGGATTGACTTTGTTTTGATATCGACTGACTTACTTACAGATTGTAATAAAACTAAAATTTTTCCTAGAACCTTGTCTGATCATAGTATGGTTTGGATGGAGATTGGTCAAAAAATAAAGAGGAAATCCTGGAGAATAAATGAAAATTTGTTTAACTATGAGGATAAGGTTAAGGCTTTGAAGGAATCTATGGAAGAATTCTTTCAACTTAATATGCATAAGGAAACTTCTATAAACATTGTATGGGATGCTGGAAAGGCTTATCTAAGAGGAATACTAATTGCTATGAATAATGCCTATAAACGTAAGCAAGCTCAGACTAGAATTAACTTGGAAAAAGAAATTGGGATGAAGGAAAAATTATTACTACAACGACCAACAGATATTAACCTAAAAAATTCTATTAAAATGCTTAAAGATCAATTTAATTTATTAATTGCTGATCAGGTGGCCACCAACTTGAAGTATATTAAACATAATACATTTGCTAATGCAAACAAACCCGGGAGGTGGCTGGCCTACCAAATACGTAAAAGACAAAAAGCGAGACTTATATCTAAAGTTTTGGTCAAAGAGCGTGAAATTCATCAACAGGAAATGATCAAAAAGGCATTTACTGAATTTTATTCGCATTTGTATTCATCAGAAACTATAAATAGTAAAGATATTGATAAATATCTACAATCTTCACCTATATATAAACTTACATTGGAACAGCAGAAAATCATGGATGACGAGATTACAACAGATGAAATTTTAAATGCAATTAAACAACTGAAAGTTGGCAAAGCTCCTGGGACGGATGGCTTAACAGCAATTTATTATAAGTCATTGTCAGCTACATTGTTACAACCTTTAAAAATTTTATTCAATAGAATTATGTTGGGAGAACAAATACCTCAGTCATGGACAAGAGCCTTTATATCTTTGATACCGAAAGATGACAAAGAAATCTTGGAACTTAAAGATTATAGACCTATCTCCTTGTTGAATGTGGATTACAAAATTTTTGCAAAAATTTTGGCTAATAGACTGATGCAGATACTGCAACATTATATACATGATGATCAAACTGGTTTCATATCTGGGAGATACATGAAGAACAATATCAGGCAAATTGTAAATCTACTGGAATACTTGGACAAGAATAATCAAATACCCTCGGCCTTTATCTTTCTTGATGCGGAGAAGGCCTTCGACAAATTGGAATGGCAGTTTTTAAATAAATTGCTGGATTATATGAACTTTGGAGATCAATTTAAAATAGCTATAAAGGCGATATATCAAAAACAGACTGCTCAGATAATTATAAATGGAGACTTGACAGAGCCTATAGAGATACAAAAAGGTACTAGACAAGGTTGTCCACTCTCCCCTTTATTATTTGTATTGTCAT